AAAATAATCCACGTTAAAAAATTATCGACAAATAACAATTGGTAAAACAAAATATTGTAAGTCTGAATATACTACATCTGTATATATTTGATTATAACAATTGATTATAATTAGTTTACTTAAACTACTGATTGTATTGAGTACAAATAAAAATGTATACAAGTTCTCTGTAAGTCAAATCTAAAGGTAAATCTTAATCAATAATAATTATTATTAATTAACTATTTAGTAATGCATTTTGATTTAGTAACAAAGACAATATAACAGTTTTATTTACTTAAATATGTGCATATTGTTAAGGCATCTAGCTGAATGAAAAACTAAAATTCAATCATATTTATATAACAATTAGAAACATTTTAAATAACAAATAATATCCTTTACAGTTTATTATTATAAAATACTGATTATTAATATTTCTAAAATTAATTTATTAACATTAATGCAATTGCTTTATTTGAAACAGACCAGAATGTCTACCTTTTTTGAGTTTGAAGTTATTATTTGGTTACTATGTCCTACTAACATGCTAGATAGTCGTCTAATTTCACACAATTGAGACCATAGTTTTCGTTGTGTAAAATTACAAAATGTGAAATTATAGATAGAAATGGTAGGTCACTTTTTTCAATTGACCTTAAATATACATGGTTTCTAAACATGATTTTTATAATAGACTGTAAATAATGGTTGGCAATGAGTTATCTAAGTAATTCACAAGCCAACATTAACACATTTTGTTAGAAATATATATTTTCATTGTTTAACACTAACTTTTATACACAAACTTGCCTAAAAACGTGAAAAATTGTTTTCATTAAACTGTGAAAATACAAGATGCTTCCTATGCACATCATGTTAAAACAATCACATTTATGTGTAAAAGTGACATTATAGAGCTGTGAAGTTAGCCCATACTAAAACATATACCCCAAAATGGTGTTAGTAATATTCTGTGAATTTAGACAACTTGTGAAATAGTACAATGTGAAAATAAACAACTCTAAGTTTAGTATTTATCTGACAGAGCAGTTATCACAACATAAATTATGAGATAAGTCAAAGAGAAGCACATCGAACACGGTTTAAATATATAACTTAAAAAATTAAACATTAAACATTTTTATATTTATTAAAAATAATTTAATAATTAGGGTAATTTAGGTTTGGTATTGATAGCATCGAGGTTAGCCAACGCTTTAATCAATAGTATTGGCACCGAATACAACTCTGTCTGTGCGGGTGCGGGCAATGTTGGCCAATCGCATTGCTTGGTTGGTAAATGGCCGGTAATGTTAATGTATGATGTAAACGGTGATACATTCAACTTGTGTATTAACTTGGTGCTATCGTTCGGCAAAAGTTCCCTAGTCATTGTGATCCATTTATCTAAAAAGCTATATATATTTTAAATAAAAATAATTAATTTTTAAAATATGAATTACTTTTTTCTAAATAAATGAGTTTTTATTAATTGTTATTTTTTAAATGTTTTATTCACCATGTTACATCATTAATCCCGTATTTAGTTCCCGGATCAGATACGTTCAACAACGATCGGGTTAATCCTTCGCGCGCTGGGATTAGCTTATCGTTTACGTCATGTATTTCTTTGCGAAGTTGCACATATTTTTCAAGTTTAGTCTCAGCCAAAATATTACTACACAGAGTGACCCACCCGGTAGTTATATATCTAGCGTATTGATCAGTAAACTGGTTGACCAAAGGCCCCTTTTTGACATTGCCGTAGTCACCGTTTAAATATTTTAAGAAATGGCCATGTGCGCATGCTCCTACCAGACTATGTTGAATCAAAAATTAAATTTTTATTAAAAATAAATGTCGCCAAACTTTCTATATAACTCGCATTGTTTAAATAGTTTAATAAATATTTAGTTTATAACAAAGAGGCTATTTAAAAAACAAATTAATTGTCTTGGAATGCCATGTTAAATCCTAGTAAGGTCATGAGTAGTCAAATAATTTTATAACATATAATAACATTATTAATTATATGTGAATTGTAGTTAAAATTTAGTTATTAATATAATGTTGTTTGGCTTACGTTTGACAATTGAGCTGAAATTGTTCAGTTGTATTAGCAATCGGGTACTCCTTATCGCCAAAACCATTGAGAGGGCGCAACAGTTGATCGAACGCTATCTCGGAGTGTGTGGTCACTCTACCAACTAGTTTAATTAAATTGTTATTTACATAGTTAAATAAAAAAACTAAGATGAGTTTTTACATGTATTTATAAATACTATTATTACCTGTGACAACAATTACAATGATGTTTATAATATACATATTAAACATCATTCACACTTTATTAACTTGATCAATTGTTAATAAAGTAAATACACGTATAAATATAACACTTATATGCTATAACAATTTTTAGTTAACATATGTTATAAATTTTCATCAAAACAATTTTAATTAATTAAATAAATAACGTAATATAAAATCGTTAAATTTATATAGATAATAATATTATTATGGAAAATGTCTATAAAATATTGTAATATTATATATAATAAAAACACAATACTTATATTTACCTTAATTGAAATTTAATTACACTCTTATAAAATATTTATAATTATTATTTATCTTATGTCAAAATAGTATTAAACAATAATGAAACGTATATTTTAATGACATTATATGTAAGTATTTAATATAAATTATAAATTAGTTGTTACATTGCATATTGATTATTTAGGTCATTAAAACTCAATTGTATTGATTGATTCGTTAGTTATATACGGATAACATTTACAATAATATTGAATTTATTGCATTTAGTGTTTTAGCAATGGAGACAAATACACTTATTTCCAGAATTCAAAGGACTATAAATAATTGTAAAAACATATCAAGATTGTTATGTCTAAACGGATGTTGCCTTCAATTACAGCCATTATTAACACAATATTTCTCATACGAGACCACAACTGATGTG